ACTGTTGATTAAAATAAAACAAATAGGTTTGAAGGGTAAGATATATAGGTGGATTAAAAAAAATTTAACTGGAAGAAACATTAGAGTTAAGATAGGTGGGGAAATAAGTTCAAAATATCAAGTAGAAAATGGTACTCCCCAAGGCAGTATTATAAGTCCTATGCTATTTAATATTATGATTAATGATATTTTTAGTAATATAGATAAATCTTTTGGTGTTTCATTGTTTGCAGATGATGGCATTATTTGGAAAAGGGGAAGAAATACAGAATTTATAAATAGGAAACTACAAGAGGCATTAAATAAGGTAGAAGAATGGGCTTTAGAACAGGGATTCAGATTCTCAACATCCAAATCTAAATTTGTTGTTTTTACAAATAGAAAGTTAAATATTTATGTGAATCTCAAACTGTATGGAAATATTATAGAAAAAAAACAGATCAATTTAAGTATTTGTGTATGTGGTTTGATAAAAAAAAATTACATGGAAAATACATATAGATAAAATGGTGGAAAAAAGTAAAAGAATTTTAAATATTATGAGATGTTTGAGAGGCAAACAATGGGGAGCAGATAGGAAAGCTTTAAAGACAATATATATCAGGCTAATTAGATCAATTTTTGATTATGGATGTATATTATATTATTCAGCTTCAAGTAGTTTATAGGAAAAGATAGATAGAATACAATATCAGGCATTAAGACTTTGTTGCGGAGCGATGAAAACAACTCCAGTTTCAGCTCTACAGGTTGAGATGGGTAAGATGCCGCTGGAACTCAGAAGAGAACAACTAGCCATAATTTACTGGGCAAATATAAAAGGACATAATGAAAATCACCCTCCACATGTTGTGCTGCAATCTTGTCAAGAGAAAGAAAAGAATTATTGGAGGCTTGTATAAAGTCCTCCACTGTGGTTTCAGTTCTCCAAATTTGCCACTCCAGACACAGCTTGGCCTTCCATTAAGAGTCCTTCCGTTCACGATTTTAACACAGCATTTGTACAGTGCCTTTGGACTGGCCTTACATAAGTCCATTACTGGTACGTCACTCTGCAGCAGGGGCCCACTGTCTTCCTCGAAGCCTGGATCTAGGACCACGTCCGGAAACAGATCCTTCGGGTCAGGCAGGCACTCTTTTGTTGRTTGTAGCTGCAGGAGCCGTCTCTCCTCAGCCGTCAGTCACTCTTTCAGTCGCTCTAGGAAGCACGTTACAAGTCTGGCGGACCGGACCCCGAGCAGCAAGGCAACCTCCAGGACGTCAGAAAACTCTGGGCCAGCTACCTGCACTAGATGCCGTAGGGTCACCGTCCCAGACCTGAACAATGCCTCAGACAGTCCCGGCACGCTGCTGTCGTGGACGTCCAGTCTCGCACCACATACCAACGGTTCTTCTAAAAGCCAATGCAGAGAATTACATGTTTTTGCTCTTTTCAATTTAAAAAGAGCACAGGATTTAAAAACACCCTGATAAAACTGAGGCAACCCCTTTAAACTCTAAAAGACTAAAATCAGTTAAAAACAGAGCAGCATCCAGGCCCAAAAAATTAACACGTCTAAGGATGTAACTGGCCACATCTGTCCACACAGGAGAACTTGTTATATTTCTGTAAAAACTGTAAACGAAATGTAGCTGTTCTACTGGCCAGGTGGACAAGGCCCTGGCCCCCCTCCTCTCTCGGTAAAAACAAAATAGACTGTGGCACCCAGTGTAGCCCAGTCCAGAAGACATCGACCATTTCCGACTGTATTTTCACTAGCAGGCCAGGTGGTGGGTCTAGGACAGAAAGCTTGTGCCACAGCTGTGATGCTACAAGGTTGTTCAGGACCAGCACTCTACTCGATATGACATTTGAGAGTGCAGCCATTTCCATTTTGACATTTTATTTATTTTTATTTTTTGCTCGACATTTTCCCAGTTTTTACCAACAACATCTTTGCTGCCTAAAAAAACACCAAGATACTTAAAACCATCACTTTTCCAGGTAAGACCTCGAGGGAGAACTGGGAGCCCATCAGACCACTCGCCGACTGCCAGGGCTTCACTTTTTCCCCAGTTCACCCTCGCAGCAGACAGTGCAGAGAATTTCTCTGTGATCTTGGTTAAAATGTTGACATCTTGTTGATTTTTTATAAAAACAACAATATCATCAGCGTAGGCAGATAAAACCATATTGTTACTAAAACCAGGTAAAACCAGACCATGAACACTCGAGCGTATTTTCTGGTGAAGGGCTTCCAGGGATAGTGTGTTGAGCATCCCCGAGAGCGCGCAGCCTTGTCGAACGCCTCTACACACCCTAAAAGGAGCACACAGGCTACCACTGATCTTCAGCACACTCTCAATGTCACTGTACAGTACCTGGATCTTGGCAATAAGACCCTCGCTGAACCCGAACCCCCTCATGGTTTTCCAGAGGAAGCCGTGTTCAACGTGGTCAAAAGCCTTTTCTTGATCTAATGAAATCAAGCCAGTTTGTAAACCTAATGAACCGGAGACCTCGAAAACGTCCCGAATCAGGTAGATATTATCTACCATGGACCTGCTGGGGACGCAATAGGTCTGATCTCGGTGGATGACCTGCTCCATAGCCTTCCCCAACCTAGTGGCCAGGGCCTTGGAGAGGATCTTGTAGTCGGTACAGAGGAGGGACACAAGGCGCCTGTTCATGATGTCCTGCAGGTTACCCTTTTTGGGCAGCAGGGTGATGACTGCCCTGCGGCAGGACAAGGGGAGTGAACCGGTGGACAGACTTTCATTGTAGACTTCGAGCAGGTCTGTGGCAAGAATGCCCCAGTAGGCTTTGTAGAATTCCACTGTGAGCCCGTCAACTCCCGGGGACTTCTGGCCCTGCATACTGAGGAGGACTGTGTGGAGTTCCTGAAGCCCCAGAGGGCACTCCAGGTCAGAGTTGGTCTCCTCGGAGACCTGGGGTAGTTCGTCGCAGAACTCCTGGAACAGTTCCTCGTTCTCTCTGCATTCACTTTGGAATAAAGAACGGTAAAACTCCACAGCCCTCCTCCTGACTTCACCTGGTTCACTCAGTTGCTGCCCTGTGTCTGACAGCAAGGAGTGGATCAGCTTCCTCTGCCTGTGTTTCCTCTCCAAGCTGAAGAAAAAGTTAGAGGGAGCATCCATCTCTGTGATGTTCTGAACCCGGGACCTGACCAATGCGCCTTGGACTTTATTCTCCAGCAGGTTTGCTAAAGTTAGCCTTTTAGATTTGAGAGCATCAATATGCTCTCGATTTCCTGTGGATTCACTAAATCGTTCTAATTCCACGATGTTTATCTCCAGATCTCTGATAGATCTGGTAATGTCACGGGTGACATTCAGAGTGTGCTGTTGACTAAGCAGTTTTATCTGAACTTTCCCATAGTCCCACCGCTGTTTAAGACTGGTAAAATCAGACTTTCTTTGTCTGAAACCAGCCCAGAAAAAACCGTAAAACCTCCCTAAAACCTTGACCATAAATTAAAACCAAATTAAAATGCCAGAAAGCGCTTCTTGGTAAAATGTTTCTGATAAAAATACTACCTAAAAGCAATGAGTGATCTGTAAAAGCCACCGGCAAGATCTGGCATGTTTTAAACACATTAAAATTGTGTTTWAAACAATAAAAGCGATCAAGACGGGCCAAAGAGATATGGTTCTCTTTGACATGGGACCATGTATACTTCCTGGAGCCTGCATGCATCCTTCTCCATACATCCACCAGGCCATGAGACGAGACCAGCCTCCTCAGAACATGTTGGGCTGCTGGATGAGGCTCTGCATGATTACGATCTAAAAACTTGTTTTCAGTGCAATTAAAATCCCCACCTATGAAAACAAAATCTTCAGACCCGCAATCACCCAACCGTTCCTCAATTTTTAAAAAAAAAAACCCTTCTTCTCTGTAGTACTGGTTGGAGCATAAATACTGATAAAAACTTTACTAAAATGTTCAAAACATGTCTTGACTAAAAGACACCTCCCTTGAATGACATGTTCAACCTCTACTGAATTTGGGGTGAAAGTCCTGGAGAAGAGAAATCCCACTCCTGCACTCTTGGAGGTGCTGTGGCTTAAAACAACCTCCCCCCTCCACTCTCTACCCCAGTCTGCTTCTATTGGTTGATCACTGTGTGTCTCTTGCAGATAAATAACATCATTTTTTTCTGATTCATAGTTTGATAAATCAAAGCTCTCTTTTCAGCCTCTCTTGTATGGAGCTATTTGGGTCTCAATATCCTCACACGTGCACAGAACAATCCATCCGTGCACAGAACAGTTCACATGTGCACAGAAAAATCCATGCGTGCTCAGAACAATTCATGCGTGCACATAACGATTCACATGTGCACAGACCAATTCATGCGTGCACAGAACGTTTCACACGTGCACAAAAGAGTTCATACATGCACAGTACAAAATTTACAAATGCACAGGACCAGACTCATACGTGCACAGAACAGTTCACATGTGCACAAGAATAGATTCAAACATGTATTTCTAATGCACACACAAATATATTTTTATTTACAAACTGCTGGTGCTCTGTGAATTTCTCTGCATTTGTGTGTGAGACTCCCCTGACTTGGCTCAACCCACACGTGTCTTTTTTTCAACAGGAAATGACCTCCAACCAATCACAAAGCTTCTTTGTATTCAGCCAATCATAAGAACTTCCCCCACGTGGGGGAAGGGTTTATTTATAAGCCAATCACAATAGTTGTTCTAATTTGAAGCAGTCACCAGTGTTGCCAGATTGGGCTGGTTTCCACCCAATTGGGCTTCTTTAGAACACGTTGGGCTGGAAAGTACAGCTTTTGGCAGCTTGTTATAATTACCTTATGAATACTTCTAAAACCCGCCAAATGTTGTTAAAAGTAACCCAAATTGTATCAAAATAGCAAATGTCACTACAAAATTGTGTTAGTTAATATCACCTGTAAATGCACCAAATAGAAGAGACTGTTTCTGAGAATCTGAGGACCTACACCCTCCTTCTGCAAAACGAGTGCTATTAGTTGAGTTTTATTATGCACATGCTTGCAACAAACATTTTACCCACCTCCATCTGGTTATTTAGAAGTTTTCATCCTAAAGATGAGTGTCACTCTCTCTAACACTCTTTTCAGAGCTACAAAAAAATACAGATTCAATGCAGGTGTGTGCTAATGGTGTATTTTTATTAGTATAATATACACATGTAGGCTATATCAGTAATATAAACTTTTTTATACTGCACACACTGTCAGAGNTTATTAGTATAATATACACATGTAGGCTATATCAGTAATATAAACTTTTTTATACTGCACACACTGTCAGAGGTTAAGATTTGGTCAGGTTTTTTTGTGTTTGGGCGGGTGTTGCGTTTGTGCTGAAAACTGTCATTCCAATCTGGCAACCCTGGCAGTTGAGAACAAGTCCGCAACATGGCTGCTGGAAACCATCGGGATGTGGTTGTCCCCGTTTGTGCTACCAAAAAAGCTGATAATTAAGGCATGGCTTTAGGACATTGAGGTGTCGTTTTAGGAACTGAACATTTTTACCAGCCACATGAGTTTATACAAAATATTTTACTGGAGCTTTTTGTGAATATATGCCATTAAAAGATTTTGAAAAACTGATGTAATGTATTAAAGATTGTTCCTGCTATGCTAAACAATGTCCTTATAACTGTGTTAAATATTTTTTGGAATAAAWGCAGTACTGAATACTGCTTTTTTTAAAATGGCTACAAGGCCAATCATGTTCCATAAAGAACAAAACTACTATTTTTGCAACTATAATGTAAGAACTTTATTGTTCATAAAAGGTAACAAATTGTACATTTATACAATATTTTCAAAATGTTATGAAATGTAGCAGGACGGTCGTTTACAACACATAACAGTAAAGGGGCAACAGTGTTGGACAAGCTGGCATTTTTAAAAGCACCAACATTAAAAATAGGTTATTGTGGAAGTATTAATATTAGAAAATCAGCTGTATAAACATCTGAATGTATAAAATATGCAAATCTGTGTAAACTGTTCAACAATACATTAATTGAAATCTGACTTCAACACCACCCATTACTAATGACTGCGTCCGACAGTTAAAAGATATTTATACAATCCAAGCGTACGGCAGTTAAAGATGACATCAGAACACCAGCAGCTAGATTAACATTCCAAAAAGTAACTACAGAACTAGTTCCCATATTGGCAACTTTGAAAACATCTCAATCTTCACAGATAAATGTGATGCCAGAGAATCAAATGTGACACTTCAAAGAACTAAGCTGAGTGATTCTATTATAAAAGAAAAACAAAATAACTGAGTGCAATAAGTTTACGTTTGCCCCTATACAAGTCCAAAGCCAGAACTTATGGAACTGAGTGRCATCATCAAGTCCTGGTGAAAACTGTCGTAGGTCTGGTAGTGGCTGGGGAGCAGGTGAGAGCCACTGGGTAACTTCATGTCACAACCTCAACCTTGAGATGTGTTGTTGGCTGTTCCCACCCAACCCAAAACTTCACCAGGTCACGCAGCACATCTGGTGATGCTGTGGAACACAAAACAGGTAATGAGCAAATTAGGTTTTTATTAAGCACTGAAACAGTTGGGCCAAATGTTTCATTAATGGGTTAATATACTGAAGCTTCAGTTACTGTGACCTGTGGCAATTTTGCAATGCTGCTGTCAAATTAGGCATTATGCACACACAACTTTGACTAGTGTTAAAGAAACTACTTTACTGTGGTAATATATATATATATATATATATATAAATTTATATTTATGCTTAAACATCCTGTTTCACTAATAAAGAT